TGATCCGTTTGATGAAATGCGTTCCATCAATTCTTCCGCCTCTTCAAGTTCCAGGCACATGAATGATCCATTTGCTGACGCGTCCACTAGTATCCAAGAATTTTCACGTCGGCCTTCATAGAAAGCCGTCATCAAGTGCCAATTTTGGATGTTATGGTGTGGACACTGTCGCTGAAGATCTTTGAATCTTTCCCAAGTCTCGTAGAGGGGCTCATTGGGATTTTGTTTGAAATTTTGAATCATTCTCCGGATTTTCGCCGTTTTAGATGGCGGAAAAAATCTTTTGAGAAATTCACCATGAAGTTGATCCCAAGTGGAAAAGTGATTGTCGGGAAAAGAATCAAGCCAACTCTGAGCTCGATCCTGTCAAGAGAATGGGAATAGGCGTAGTCTGACAGCATCAGATGGCACACCATTGATTTTGAAGGTGTTGCAAGCTCGAAGGAACTTTGTGATGTGATTATTTGGATCCTCCGTTGGCGCTCCGCCAAATCGATCATTTGAAACCATTTGGATGATAGCAGTCTTGATTTCAAATTGATTCATGTTAACCTCCGGTGGAATAACACTGTCATGCTCATTCACGGGAGGCGTAACATAATCATATAATGGCTTCCTGGTCCTCGTAACTTGATCCACGATTGGTTGATTTGGTTCCTGCTCATTTACAACAATATCGTTTGACATTTTTTTTATTTTTTTCTGTTCACGTATGTGCTTTTCAATGTCAGAGAAGAATAACAATTCACAATTCGCACCACGTGAACGTGTGAGCATAAGCAGAAGGGAATTGGGATTGGGATGAGAGAGAGAGAGAGAAATGAAAAGAAAATAAATTGCGTAATTAATTAATTAAGGTTCACACGTAGTCAATTGGTATAAACCGAATAAGATTAGTGAGCCCTTAAAGCAGTACTAATATATACAGTAATTCACCAGGATGCGGCTGGGCCGACAGATATGGTGATTTGAGAAGAAGAAGAAGAAGAAAATAGCTACAATAATAAATACAGTCTCCACCAAGATGCAGCTGTGCCGACAATCTGGGGATTATTATGAAAAAATAAAAATAAAAAGTGCACGCCACCAACAAGCGGAAAGGGCCGACAAGCTTGGGGATGCAAAAAATGAAAAAAATGCTGAAATTAAAGTGCGGAAATTAAATTGCGATAATTAAAGTACAGAAATTAAATTACGATAATTAAAGTGCAGAAATTAAAAAATTGGGGTTTTAACCACCAAAAAAAGAAAAATAAACGGTCCGACCATATAGGCAGAGTATCCTTTAAATTATTATGTACAAGTAAACGGTCCGACCAAATAGGCGGATTATCCGTTGAATTAATATGTACAAATTAGCGGTCCGACCATATAGGCGGAGTATGTCCTTTGAATTAAAATGTGACAATATGTCCAATGGTCCAAACGTCCAGATATGTTCAATCAACAAGTCCAACTCCAATACTCAGGTAAGGTAATTAATCACAATTCAATTTTTTTTTTGAACTTTAATTAATCACTTTTTTTTTGTTTTTTTTTTGAAACCTGCAAAAGTAAACAAGATAACAACAAAATAATATACACACAATTTACAATAACTAAAATCAAAAGTTCATGCTTTGATTTTTTTTCTTTCAAAACCGCTTCCCCGGCAATGGCGCCAAGTTGGTGTGTAGCATATAATGGGCACACAACTATTTTTTTACCCAAGGAAGTAGGGTGTCGAACCACAGAGAACCGGGAAATAAAATAATTAAGCACAAACTAAGGATTAAAGTTGAGAATGCGTTCTTTTGATTTTTGGTTTGCTTGCAAAAGTAATAATAAAATAAAAGTGATTGGTATGAGAGATTTTTATCAACACCAAGTTCAACAAATAGCAAGTAGGGGTAGAAATTGGTAACTAATTGTTCAATGTTTAATTGAGAGACAGAATTGCTAATTTTATTCGTAGATAGATTGTGAGAAGTCATCTAAAATAAGTGACTAGTCAACATTTCCCAGTGATGGCCAAAACGAGACTAGTTGTTTAAGTGCAACGACAACCTTAATTATTAACTATATTATTTACCCAACCCCGTGGTGTAAATAATATAATTAATAATTAAATTCTCCCGTAAAACTTCAATCCGGGACAAGGTAAAAGAAGTTTAACGGTGTGTTCAGAAAGTGTTCATTTGTGTATTTAACAAACAATATGTTTATGATTGAGTACTCATAATATATATCACAAACATAACTTAATTAATTTTCTGGACACAACAATCTAAGTAGAACAAACTTAACAATTAAAATCAATACAAATTAAAACATGATAAGAACAATTAATTAACCAATTTCTAGCCCCAAATTTATTTAGCTATACATGTTTGGAAGCATAGAAATAGATGAATCCATAATTAAAGTACAAGATTTAATGAGATAAGGAAGATCAAACTTGTGATCTCTGTTCTAAAAATCGTTCTAGGCGCCCGACTAGTCCCCGCCTAGGCGCTAGTCAGTGGCCGGGCGCCCCGATTTTCGTCAAGGCGCTCCGACTAATTGGTCGGCCGCCTATGGCGCCTAGTTGCCCGCCTAGAGCGCCTAATCGGCCGCCTAGGCCGTCTAGATTCGCCGAACATTACTTTACTTTTTAATTTTAATTTTCCAAGCGATATACGTACTTTAACTTTAGTCATGGATATAAGGAAATGAAGTTGTAAATTAAGATAAAACTATACATGTTTGTATATACTCCGTATATCTAAATTTAATCATTATTTATATTTATAACATAATGAAGTTAAGTGATTAGTTATCATATACTACGTATGATTAGATGTGATAATTCTATCTTTTATGTTTGTTAATGTATATGTAGAGAAATCATCTCATCAGGCCGGCCTGACGGGCTGCCCCGTCCGGCCGAGCCCGTTTGGGCACCTTCCCGGTGGAATTTTTTGATGAAATTTTTTGAGCATGTTCCCCATCGAGTCTAGTTTGTCCATACCAAATTTCAGCTCAAAATTCGATCGGGAAGGTCGTCAAATGATTTTTGCAAGTTAACTGGTCCGGAATATGTATTTTCCGGACCAGTTAACTTGCAAAAATCATTTGACGACCTTCCCGATCGAATTTTGAGCTGAAATTTGGTATGGACAAACTAGACTTGATGGGGAACATGCTCAAAAAATTTCATCAAAAAATTCCACCGGGAAGGTTCCCAAATGGGCTCGGCCGGACGGAGCATCCCGTCAGGCCGGCCTGATGAGAAGAGCACTCTGTATATGTATATGTATATATGTGTTTTATACACACAAAAATACAATATTACTTACCATATTTATGCAAAAATGTAGATAAAAATGCAATTTATATGTCTCTGACTAGTCCCCGCCTAGGCGCCCGCCTAGCCGCCTAGGCGCTAGGCGCTGGGCTGGCGCCCGACTAGCGCCTAGCGCCTTTTAGAACTTTGCTTGTGATAGATGACAATCCTTGAAGCTTTGGTGCTAATCTTGACTTAATTTTGGATAAAGAAGTGATTAGTTGTGGTTGAAGATGGGTTGATGATTTGAAGGTGAAGAATGAAGAGAGAAGGAGGAGGAAATGTTTCTGGGAGGTGTAGAGAGAAGTTGAGTCGAGATTCTGTGTGGAAGGAGATGGATTAAGCCTTATAATGATAAGATAATTAATCATTAATCTGCTGGAATTTACGGAAGTGAAGAGTATATGTATAGAAAAACGCAACATGGTTCCAACAACACCAAGTAGCCCAGCGGAGGAGCGTCTTAGGGGAAAGCTTGGAGGTCGCAGGATTGATTCTCGGCTTCGACATTTTGTTCTTCTTTTCTTTGCTGCGTTCAGAAGGAATATAAAAATTGTCAGCTGACTTCTTTGCAACAATGAGAACTAGCTCGCTGGTTCATTACACTAGCCTCCTGCCCGTCGACCTATGTTCGATTCCCAGCTCCCTTGTATCCAAATAGCATCAAATGTACCTGAAAATATAAAATACTCGTATTGAACGGCACTAATAAAACTAACGACAAATAATAAAAATATGTACAAAAGTAGAACTTTAATAACTAAAATTAACAACAAACTAAGCCTAAAAAGTGTGTAAAATATAAGTACAGCAGTCACCCTTATCTCTTAAGAATATCTATTCGACTCTCTGTGATTTGTCAATTTCATAACTTGAAAAGTAAGAACTACAAACACTTTCTCGCTTGAGAATAGATGGGCCTTTCATCTACGCCGAAATGCCAAATGTCATGCCTGCTCCTACTTTTATCCTACTATGCCGATGTTGTCAAAACTAGACCAGGGGTGACCCGGGCAACGAATCGGGTCAACCCGAACCCAGGAGGGTCAGCGCGGTCAATGGCGGGTCAACCCGATCAACGTTTACAAAAAAAATACGTATACACACACATACATATATATTAGCTTAGAGTTGTATGTTGAAAAGTCACTCATTCAAAATTAATAATGATAATAAGATTAAATTAAAAGTTAATGTAACAACATATGAAGTATATTTATATAAAATTATCCTTGAAAATGTGATTAATAGATGAAACAACTAAACGAAGTGATTAATAGATCAAAAGTTTTCCTGCAGGTCTAGGGTTTGAATCCCCCTGCCTCATTTTTAATGAGGCTAATTATCGGGTCTGGCTATAATTCCCGGATTAGCGGGGTTTTGAGCAGGCCGGGTCTGTTACGGGTTTGACTGGGCTACCGGTTATTCCCGTTTTTCAGCTATTAACGGGTTTTACCACAACCGGACCGGTTCCAAGGCCGGGTCGCCGGGTTCCGGTCGAACCGCCCGGTCCGGTCCGATTCTCATAACACGGCTTTTATCTATTGCAACTTTTTAGTTGATAATGTGTCGTTAATTTGTTTCTACATTTTTTCGTATAGAATTGGCCATGGTATATTCCGGCTTCTAGAGTTCTAGGCCCTACGGCATAAAACGGCCATGTTTCCAAAAAGTAGAGTTAAAAGGCACAAAAGATGGCCGTATCAACGTTATGGTTTATTTATTACTTCATTGTTCAATGCAATACATGTATTATGAATGTCCATTATCGGTCCGGCAATGTAAATCATTTACTATGGAGCATTATTATTTGTAGTTATAAACCAAAATACGGAGTAAAACTTTCCCATGCCAAGTTCTTTTTTTAGTCAACGGATATGGTTTGACGGCAGCCGATCCTGGTCGGCGATAGAGTGCCGGAAATGGCAACGGTGGCCATAAGGACAGTCGTCTCCGGCCATCACCATGCGGCAGATCTCTGTCTTGTATCGTGGATGCCGGATCACCGGCCGTAGTTCTTTCACACCGTGAGCAAACTGGCAGTTCTCGCCATAAGGACACTCGCCGGTTTCGTGCCACTTGTTGCAAAGCTCTGTTTTGAACATTCCTTGATTGTACACATCAAACTCCAGAGCCTCGTCTTCATTTTTCGCCCCGGGAACGTATACTCTTTGCTGCAGTCATCAAAGATCAACAAAACCTCAAAATCAGGGTTAGTTCTAGGGAGATTTAATTAAAATTAAAAATTAACCAAATTTGATATAATTATACTCCGGCGTACTCACCGATTGGGCAAGAGGCTTAGTCGTATCACGGTGGCTATTTTGGCCGCCGGCTGAACCATGTTGCGCCTTCAGCTTGAGGTAGCCACTGGATCGTATTGAAATGCTCTTTGGAAGCTGGACTTGCTCTTGATGGCCTCTTTCGATCCGGTGCTGCTCTATGGTTCCCGGCGGCTGCCTGAGGATGGGAGGATTTGATTCTGCGATGAGAGCGTTACTGACAGGGGAAGCCTGCACTCCGATGCCGAGGTGACTGAAATCTGAGAGAAGACAACTCCGGATCGTAGCCTGAGAGAGCAGACTCAGACGCTGGACCAAATCGGCATTGGCGAGATGAAGAGCCTCGTTCTCACGGCGAAGCGCCATGACTTCCTTGAGAGACTCCTGAAGGCTAGCATAAATGAGAGTGTACCGATTGTAGAGCTGCTGGTACTCGAGGACGTAACTGGCTTGAAAGAGTCGGCGTTCTGCCGCCATAGCTTCAGCTTCGCAGAATGAGGTATCATCAGATGGAGATTTCCAATTCAGAGACGAGAGGCAAGAAGAGTAATGGTTCGCTGAATCCAACTGGCTCGGTGATGATGATGGCGATAGAAATGGATTGCAATGGTAGAGCGGCGATGAGGATCCGCATGAGGTTGAGTTGCCGGCGGCGGCAACCGATCTCGAGTTTGAGCAGGCATCACCGCCATCAGAAGCAGAGTTATCCTTCAGCATCGAAGGAGCTGATCTACCAAAAAAGCTTAAAATTACCGTCATCGATCAATATGATCGAAGCAACTGGTTTCAGTTCGAACTAACAAAGCTGATAAACACAGAGCAGCACTAGATCTGATCTCCTATACATAAAAATTGTTTTGAAACTGAAAGCACAAATTCATCAAGTCATAGCGAAACAGAAACATATTCATCGAGAGTTCAATTCAACAAATTAATCACAACTATGAAACATTATTATATTCCAATTTGAAATTGAACCAGAAGGCGGCAATTCAATCATCAACGCTCAATTCAATTGCACAAATTCAACGATTGGAACTTCAATTCAATTCGTTAAAATGCGAAATTGTATAATATTATCACTAAACTACGAGCTGAGAATGCACAACTTACTGATCTCCATGCATTCCGGTTCAGGTGAAGGTTTTCATTCCGAGAAATGAACGGGAATGGAGGTTACTGCATATTAGATGGTTCCAGATAACATGAATTTGGAAGCTGCACTGACAGACTCGTCGCCGGGATATAGAATTTATAGACATACGCTATTGATTGCTTACAGCTCAAGCGTTTGAATGAGTTCTTTTGGCGGGGAATGCACTTTCTGGTTTATGCATTGGCCTTGAGCATAGCAAAAGCAAACTGTATTGGCTTTTTATTACTTGTACTAATATTTGAAAATAAGATTAAAAAATCACTAAATACTTTTATAAACAACTTTTCTGAAGCCACTTTTATAAACATATCCAAGTTTGATGTTGAATTTGTAGACGTTTTTCAAACCTCCCTAATATAAATAAAATAAAATGGAGGGGGATTCCCTTACATAATCTTGATCAATACTAGTATATGATTGCAATATCATTATTGGTCATGTCATTTAGAGTGCAAATCGGAATATTCATTTTTACCTATAAGCTTTGTTAGCCAACTTTTTTATTAATCAAACTTTTTATTTCGCGTGTTGAATTGTCTAATAACCAAATAAGTAAAGTTGAAGTTATTCTTCTAACTGATTTGGCTGGAGTTAAGTAGATGACCATTTTGACTATTTTTCATATAATTTTTTCTTTACTTTATTGGTAAAGTATATTTTATTTTATTTTCCCACCGTTTAACAATTCAGTTTAACAATTAAGTTAAAATTTCATCAATTTCAACTTATTCAATCAATTCTGTATTGCGAAACTGAGGCATAAATTTTGGAGTTTAGGTAGAAAAGGGTGGGGCCAAAATAAGATAAGCCCTTACGAGGCACACCAAACATACCACTCGTTAGGGGTGGGTTTAGTTCTTGCGGTTCGGTTTTGACCAGAAACCAAATATAGAATCAAAGTAAAAAGTTCGGTTCGGTTCGGTTTTACACTCCAAAACTTGAAATCACGGTTTGATTGGTTCGGTTTGTTTCGATTCGGTTTCGGTTTTTTCGGTTTCTTACCGAAAAATTCTCACTTGATTTAAAATTGATATAATACTTAAAGGGATTAAACATATTACATAAAGAATGCAAGCACAATACAAGAACAAATAAAATAAAAACGAGAAGAGATAAATATGTCTTGAATTATATGAGTATGCGAGATAGATAAAACTGTATATATTATTGATTTAATTTGTTTGTGAGTAGTTCAAAAAAAGTTCATGAATATATACGTTCTATGTGATATAGTTGCGATGGATATTTATTGTTTTATCAATATAAAATCTTTAAGTTATCTAAAAATAAAAGTTAATTACTACTAATAACTAGTAAACACATTATCATCATTCAATATAGCTACATTATTACAGACAATGAATGTGTAAATGAATTTATAAACTAAATTAAATTAAACATAACACAAACATTATTTCTCTAACACAAGAAAACCAAAGACTATTGATGATATTAAGATTAATTAGAATTAATGCTTAACAATTAACATATAAATTTCATATTTTAAATAGTTCGGTTTGTTCGGTTCGGTTTTGAAGGGTAAAAACCAAAACCGAACCAAACAACTTCGGTTCGGTTCCGGTTTTTACAATCGGTTTCGGTTTCTTAGCGGTTCGGTTTTATTTAGCCGCGGTTCGGTTTAATTTGATTCGGTTTTCGTTTTTCGGTTTTTCAGACCCAGCCCTACCACTCGTCATTTCCATGTGTGTTGTAGAGACTAGAGATCGAGTACGTACCATAAAATACGGATTTATGGATTTTAAAAAGTGAATTGTTGTGAAAATATTGTGATTATATGAAATTCGGGGTCATACATATGAACAGAATTTTGCTATTTGATATTCTATAGTTTGCATATATATAGCCTATAAGAGCATCTTTAATGGGAGTATGAATTGTTCAAAAATGCATTGCCACCTCACATAAATAGACATTGAAATTAAATAACACTCTCCAATGGAAATGTGCATACGGACTCTCCTGCTGAGTTGGAATGGAACGTGTCACACGATGTCTATTGCTCTTTCTACTTACAGAAAGCCTTTCTCATAGCCACCTCATCAACATTTTTTTCGTCGGATGCTTATGCACCGTATTCATATAAATAATACTCGTATAGTAATAAAAATCATCTTACACCTACGCACTCACTCCCACTTTCATAGAATTTTAATTGAACATTGGTTATCACTAGTCTTGTAATTCCGATTCAACATGTATATATATAGTACTCCATATATTCCAATCTGCTGCAGTAAATATTTTTTTGACAAAAAAAAATCATTAACAAATAATAATCTACTAGTTTTTCAACAAGATTTATATGTAGTATATATCTAATACGGAGCAATAGCATACGGAAGTTTTGGTCCATTGATGCGGAGTAAGAAGCATTGGAGCTTAAACATTATTTTAAATGTGTGTCTATCCACCTCAACTTCATACACCGTCTACTTATGTGACATGTCCATTTTTAATGGGATGCAATCCACATTTCCATTAAAGATGCTCTAATATCATAAACATTCTATGTGGGCAAAAATATAGGCTCGTATGGTCTGGTTACTCTGGTATGACTTATTTTGATATGATATGCTAGCTTAAGTTTATTCTAGTAAAGATGGAGCTATTTAAGTTATGTTGGTGTTAGGGTCAAGTACCATGGATATTTTACTACGTGGTATTTCCTAAATTTGGTCTGATCGGCTTTGTTTTATTCTATTCAAGTGTACTCCCTCCGTCCCCTTTTAAATGTCCCGTTTTACCATATTGGGATGTCCATATTTAATTGTCCCATACCTTATTTGGTAAACTTTGTGTGACTCAAAATCATTCTTACTTTATTCTTACTTTATCAATTAATATCAACCACACAAACTCACTTTTCTTAAAACCCGTGCCACCATCTCCTGTCCCATTTAAAAGGGGACGGAGGGAGTATTGTTTTACATTTGGCTTGTTCTTATTTAATTTGATTTGATTGGTTCTTAAAAATTATGTAGTATTAGGTGTAAACGAGTTTAAATTAACATTTGATAAACACGTACTATAGAATACTTCCTAAATATATTATTCTATACTTCATTCAGACCGATCTATTCCGGTGCATAAATCTTCAATAATATGGAACACAATAACATGTACACATACACTTGTGATGAAATGTCACGAGTTAATCAAGTAACGCGAGGAACCTTTGGTGATCAAAATCATATTTGAGCTACATGTGGTATTACGCATGGTCGCATGGATCCGGTGCACCGGTACCGTCTGGCCAGAAGTCGCATCGATTTTCCGGTCCTGGTCATGGATTGGCCCGCCTCCTTTGGGATAGTCCTGTGGGCATTTAAACAACAATAATGGAAAGCTCATCTGAAATTTCAATTATTGTGTTTTTTCTATAAAAAAAATTACTTATTCCTTGAGGTAATATGACGTGCACTTTGTCGTGATGTTCACTCAAAATAATAATACAATACCACACTTATACGTAGTATAGCGTAGTAAGGTTCGTATCCACAGGGAAAGGAATACTTTTCTTTTTATAGAACTAGTAACAAAATGGGGGGTTTTAGTTTGATTTGGTTTAATAAATTAAACACGAAGATGAACGAGTTATGTGGTTTAATTAATGAGAAGAAGACTTGGCTTTGCTTTTATCCACTTAATGAAATGTTCGTCGATCCCGGTTATATCTTTAACTATCTTCCTCTCGAATACTCAATCGAGGAGTATATCCAGTTCATTGAGGGTAGTTATTAATAACGAGACGCGTTCATTAATAAATCTTACTACCAAGTCAATATAGAACAAGCGTCGTATATTAACTTGATAGTAGCAATAAAATCAAGATGAAAACGATTGAGATTGATAACCTCAACACAAGCGGTTTATTGGTTTAATCAATATAATTAATTCCCCTTGGCTTATTAACCATGAGAAGCATGCATTAACAACCCAAGTTTACTACCGTGAAAGGACCGAATTAATAACAAGCGTATTAACCGACCGATTGTAGTAATAATTAATATATGAGACAAAACTAGTTGATCCTTTAAGTAATGTTCAAAATATTAACATGAAATATGAATAGGAATTAATTAATACTCAAGGAAGAATATTAAAGAAGATGAATCCTACTATAGTTAATATCAAGATGTTAACTAATTGTCATCTTAGTAACACTCCCCAATATTAACATAGAGGAAGAAATAGCTATTACTATAACTAATGTCAAGATATTAACTAATTGTCATCTTAGTAACACTCCCCAACATTGATATAGAAATAGTATTTAAAGGGATAATTAATATTCAAGGAAGAAGATTAAAGAGAATAACTCACAACTTACAAATTCATTAAGCTTCAAAGTAGCAAAACCAAGATGGAAGAGTTTAGCTCCTCATTTGGAGACTAAACATGATAGAAAATATAAAGAAAACACTAATCTAAACTGAGCTAAAGAGTATATGTGAATTGGTTTTTTTTTGTGTGTGAAGAAAATAATGCAAGTTACAAGGTAGAAAATTAAGTATGTTCCAATGAGTGACTCCCCCTCACTTAGCTCGAAGCACTGTCCCTAGTGCTTGTCTTCGTTATACCCGGGTTGAAACGGACATCCTCGTTGTCCCTTTGCATTTATACTTTCGGCCCTCACCTTCTTATGTGTCATTGAATGTTGTTTTTGGGTCTTGGGTTTCGGACTTGAGGGTAGGGAGTAGGGTTTCAATTTTTTTTTTTTTTTTTTTGAATGGAAAAAAAAAATATGAGGATTTTTAGGTATTGGATTGTAGAGAAAAGTGAGGGGAGTGTATTGGTTGTTGTATGAGTGATTTGGTGGAGAAGTGAAGGAGATATGGTAGAGAGAAGGTAGAAAAATGGAGTTTGGGGGAAAGGGGTTTGAAGTTTGGGATGATTTTTGGAGAAGATGAAGTGGGTTGGGGTGTTTTATGGGTATAAACCGCAGGGGTACCCGATCGGGTATCACCCTATACTCGATCGGGTGCTGGAGACAGGGGGTGCAAAAATGGCTTTTCCAGTGATACTCGACCGAGTATTGTTAGATACTCGATAGGGTATAGGAGGCAGGCTCCCTTTGATTTCGTCTTTCTGTACATACTCGACTGAGTATTGACATATACTCGATCGAGTATGCTTGCATCTCTAAAAAGCTTTGTTGCTTCGATCGAGTACTGAAATTGGTTCCTTTTTTTTTATCAATACTCGATTGGGTATGCCCCCAGATACACTTGTTTTTTTTTTTTTACACACGCACACTACGGAAAAAGAAAACATATCTTGCTTGGGTTGCCTCCCAAGAAGCGCCTAATTTAACGTCGCGGCACGACGT